GATACATAGATACATATATATGTCAGAATAAACCCAAAATCACTGTTAGAAAATCACTGAGTTAGATACTGTATAGTCCATCTGTATTTATTTATATTCAACATGAGCAAGTTACGAACTTCGACTTCATATGTATCCTAAACCCTCCATATACGCTCATGGACCACAACCACGCCTGTTTGTCCCCAACCACCCGTCACCTTCCCAGGTGGCACCAGCATCCTGTATACAGCACCGCTAGATGTGTGGGCATATTAGTATTTGGGGTGGGGTGATCTCAAAACAGGTTTTTCAGGGGGTTGATCTTGTTGAGTACCTTGGCACCACTCATGGCTGCACTACCAACCCCACCCGCCACTGCGGAAACCCCACCCACAACACCGCCGCCCCCATTCGCGAGACCCAGGTCCACCTCAAGCCATCTCTCTGCCATGACCTCGAGCAGATAGGTGGGGCTTTTGGCCTTGTACCTGCCGTCTTCCTTCTTCTCGATGAGCTCGAGTGTTACCAGTTTATCGAGTGCGTCGTCAACCTGTGTTAATTATTGATAATTGAGTTTGGATTCGATTGAATTAGGGGTTGAATAATTGTTTATAATTAGGGTAAAAAATTTGTTTATAATCGAGTCCAAATTCGATTGAACTAAGTTTGCGATCAACAGGACCACACAGACTGCACCTACACACCAGTCAACAGGACCACCCAGACTGCACCTACACACCAGTCAACAGGACCACCCAGACTGCACCTACACACCAGTCAACAGGACCACCCAGACTGCACCTACACACCAGTCAATAGGACCACACAGACTGCACCTCACACCAGTCAACAGGACCACACAGACTGCACCTACACACCAGCCAACAGGACCACCAGACTGCACCTACACACCAGTCAACAGGACCACACAGACTGCACCTACACACCAGTCAACAGGACCACACAGACTGCACCTACACATCAGTCAACAGGACCACCACAGGACCACCCTACACACCAGTCAACAGGACCGCTTACCTCAAAGTCCATATTGACCTGGAACTTGATCTGCATGTACGCCTCGGCGCATTTGTCCACGTCGTCGTCACTCATGCGACCGTGTTTGATCAACATCCACAGCGCCAGCACAGCCTCGGACACCTCTTGTTCTTGACACTTGAAGACAGACGAGAGAATGGCGGACCGGTTGGTGGCACCCACGGCGCTGAAAAGGGTCTCCGTCTGGAGCCAACGGGACAGGGGGACTGGGGGTTAGTACGTGAGATACTAGCCTTAGAACCCTAACCCTAAATCTTAAAAGCCTTAGGGCGATGGCTGTAAAGGATGTCAAATTCTAAACCCTAACCAGGGATGGACTGAAACGGAGATACTATTCGTCAGTATCTACTTCGTTCACTTTGACTTTTTCACCTCTGCTGCAATATCTAGCAATAACATATAGCTTTAAAGTGTGTCAAAAAAAAAAAAGGATATATATACACCGCATACTACAGAACGGGCCAAACGCCTATTCATATATATAAATATAAATATAAATACATTTAAATTTATATATATATATATACATATATATATACACACACACACACACACATATATAT